CACCATAGGGAGTGGCTGCAGTCTGATGGCTGCTAGATGGCAGGTATTCTTCTTCTTCCTGAGTTTCCTCAGTGTTCACTGGCTCACACTGGGGGGCTGCAATCGCTGATGATTGATCCTCTCCTCTTGGTCAGGAATTTGACCAATATTTGGGAGACATTTCATGATCAAATTTTGTCCCATGGTGCTGGGAGGCTCATCCCAGATCAGGCAAAAATTCTTGATATGCCACTCCAGGTGCTAACTTTTGGATTAGGCCCTATTGATAATTAAAGATTCTCTGGATCCTCTGTCTAATTATGATCCAGGAGACATTTTCGCTTGTTGCTTCTTCCCATACCTAGAACCACATTATTAAAATTATTTTTATGGTATAAAAGTGATCTATTTCCTTAAGATGTTTAGCCATAGACGTTTTGTTGGAGGCCTGGTTACACACTGGGTACTGCAAGAGACAACAATCTTATAAAATAGGATATAAGTAACAGCTAGTAACATTGACAAAGACATACTGCAGCAGGGAGACACAAAGCACAAACAATTTGGAAATAAAGAACAAATTAAAACAATGACTAGCATAATATCAAGTCCATAGGAGAACCAGCTGGAGACAACAAATTCTGTCAGGATCAGGTAGAGAGAAAAAGATAAATGTTTCATCTTTGTTTAAAAAGGCATACTTTATCAACTTGTTGTAGGTCATAGCATAAGGTTATAGCATAAAAGTTTTTTCCTAAAAACAAAGATTAAAGTCAATATATTTCCTAAAGGCGTAAAGTTATAAATCATATTTACCAGTTCACTCAGTCCCATGTAATTAATTCCCATTGATCTGGATGAAATAATCAGTTTACTATTAGTTTTGTCATTTGTTACCCAGTTCAGTGATATTATCTAAAGGCTATAAGAAACTTATATTTGTTAAAAAGTTCCTTTTTATCAGTCTTCTTGAAAAATCTTCATTTTGTAAAAGCATCAGGACAAAAAACAAAATAGCATGGTTAAAAATTTGAGTACAATGCAATTAGCAGGATTCTTGGATATAACATTTTAGAATAACTAGTATTATGATTGTTAACATATCAGGACATACCAGATGTTAGGAATTCCATATAAATTTTGGAATATCTATATAAATGACATTTATCCAAACACTATAATCTAAGGTTCATCTCCAATCACTTTACGATGTTTCTGAAGTAACTTAACATACCAAATAAACTTAGTTTGACATCTCTCTCTGAGATATCTCAGAGATGTTCTTTCGAAGTATCCAGAGTCAGCTGGAGGCTAAAAAGCTTTAGTCAGATTTGGATATTTGGGAAGTTTGTTAAAAATATCAAAAAGGTTTTACAACACAACAGGATGTAGGTCACTGTGAAACAGTGCCTATTCATTTAACCAAGTCACAAAATGATGAAACAAAAACAAATACGGAGCACCTAAGGGCACAGAAACTCATTTAATCTGTTATCAAAAGGAGCAGTCTAACAGAGAGGGAGATCAAATTTCAGTCTTGTATTAGCTTACTTAACGAAATCCATTTACTTATTTAACTTCAATCTAAATTCAGTTAATCCTGACCATGTACAAAACTTTCTTAGTAAAATGTAATTCCATTCCTCGTACCTTCTTAACTGAAAACACACATTCTACCATACTGAAATGTTTTATTATTTTCAGTAGCTTTAATTCTATATTTAAATTAGAATCTCCGATTCTTAAAAACCTTAATTTCTAGGGACAATCAAGAGGCAAGTAATACTTACCAAATCTGGAGAAACTATTTTAGATGATTTTTAGAACATAATTATTCTTAGAGTTTACCTAAAAGCTCTTATCTCATTTATATTTACTTTAAAGTTTCATCATATCAAGTTATTTTTCTTGCTGACAAATTTGCAACAGATATAACAAGATTTCATTTAGCTTCTATTAAACCTAGGTGCAGTGAAAGTACTATACTTAATGTTGATGGCTCCAAAGACATGTCTATATTAATTAGAGCAACAAACTTAAACATTAATACCAGGTATTAATTTAATACTAAATATTTCCTGGTTCACGTGAAACTGAAACTCATTTACCTTAATTTCTCTTGTATTTAGAATTGTTTGGTTTGTAAGGGCTTACGTTTCTTTAAGCCAATTAAATAAGGCTCATTTACAGATTAACCTCAGCAATGTTATCCAAGACAAAAACACATACAAACATACAAACAGAGAGACATCATAGTTCTCATTTCAAAATTTCAGCCCTGAGTCAGGTACAGTAGTGTAAAACCCATCAGTTTACAAAAGAGGTTGGATTAAAGTTGGGTTTCTGGCAAATGGAACAAATCAAGCTCATTTGTCTAGATGGCTAAACCCTTTTTACTAATATTTATGGTAAACAAGTCAAGTTCTAAATTACTGTACCCTCTTTTACAAAATTTGCATTTTAAAAAGATGGCAGAGATAAGGGTTTCTGAGAAGACCAGGTAGGACATTTGTATCTCAAAGGTACAGGCAAGTTTCTCCTAGGATGACTTTGTTTCCCCTTTGTTTAATATTTACAAGTCTCTTAAGATTACTCATATTTATTAGAAAATCAATCAACTTGTTCCCCACTGTCAATGTTACCGGGGACTCCTGTGGGGAAATCAGGGTCTGATGCCTCAAGTCCAAGGGATTCCCCTGGCCTCTTACAGGGTATTAGGGCAAGGGAAATTGCCCTGCTGCAGAAGTGCCTCCCAGTCCAAATTGGGTGCCCTGTAGGGTCTTAGATGGTGATACTAAACCAGGTCGCTGTGCCCCGGGTGTTACCACAGAAACTTCTATTTGATTCCAATGGGTAGGGGAAACAGGAGGCAGTGAATATGTTGGCAGCATGGGGGTGGGGACATTTGGAACAACTGCCAGTGTAGCCTGCTCGGTCACTGGGGGAGCTGGGTAGGCTGGGGTGGGGGCTAAGTTTTGAAATAACATGTCCCCACTCTCATTTTCTCCCTCTCCCCCTTGGGTTTCCTTTCAGATCACAGCACTATAAGGTGGCAGTCCTATGACTCCTTTTCCTCCTGATGCAATAGCATAAATGCTCCTATATATGGAATCTCATCTCTTTTCCCTGCTCTTTTGCAGAACATTTCGATCTGCGAGATTATATAATAATTGAGTGAGCCATTCAGGGGCCATCGTTCTTCTGATCCTAACATATATTGGGTTCATACCCTATTACAGTAGTATATCATGTCTCTCTTAGTCATAGGCTCCCGGCTATGTTTTGCCCATTTATCTAATATATGCCCCAAAGGGTTTTCCTTCGGGATAGGTGAAGTATTTCCCATTTTTATCAGTTTGACTACACCAAAACACAAAAGACACAGACAAATTCCAACACAAAAGGCACAAATTCTAGCATCAATGCACACAAAACCAAAACAAAACCAAGAGCAAAACCAACGAACTAGTTCCCAGATCAGGTAGACTTACCCTACAAAACCAACGAACTAGTTCCCAGTGAACCCGCTCCCAGAATCAGGTAGAGTCCAACAACAATTCCCCCCCCCCAACAGGGAACCCCAACCACACTGGCTTGTACCGTAAAGGAAAAGCCCAGATTGAGGGGGAATATGTTCCCAGCATGCACACCAGAGGAACTTAACCTTCAGAATTGAATGGAGTCTGTCGACTCGTAGTCCCAAATGGAACTGAAGTTCCCCAGATTGGAACTGAAGTTCCCAGATGGAACCGTCATTCCCCAAATTGAAGTCTGTCGGTTCTTTGCTTCAGCTGCCAAGCACTGGGGTAGCCGGTGCCGCTTCAGGGAACTTTGAAGGGAAGATCCTCAGGACAAATGGTCCTGGCAGCTGCTAGGGCCTTGCCCCAATATTCCCTGACCGGGCCGGCTAGCCACGAGCTGCAAGGCTCCTGGCTGGCTCGCCAAATTTGTTACCGAGTCCAAGCTTTCTCTGCTTGCCACATGACAGGCCAACGAATCGGAGATGAGGTGCCGAGGCAAGGAATACAACTTTATTCGGAAAGAAGGCAGACTGAGAAGATGGCAGACTAGTGTCTCTGAAAAACCATTTTATCTGGGTCTGGATGCCAGTTTCTGTTATAGAATCAGAGAGGCAGAGGCAGTGAGGAAGTAAAGTAAAAAGGCAGAATAGAGAGGGAGAGGCAGTGTGGAAGTAAAGTAGAAGGGCCATCAGTCTTGCAAAACATCTCCTGGAATGACCAGCCTTGGTGAGGGGATGTGTTAGTTTCTTTTTTCTTGCAGCCATTCACAGGTGGGCAGGGTTCCCTGAGGCAGGCCATTATGTATGATTATAATAAAGAAAGCAATGAAGAGCAAAGGTTAAAGTCAAAGAAACAGATCCAACATGGAGTCCAATTTAACTCTTCCCTGTTACAGAATTACATATAATTTTAGAGTTCTTTCTCTTCATCAAAAGCATAATCTAAAGTAATTGGTCTCTAATGCCTGTCATTCTTCAATATTTTTTCAGTGTTGTTAAAAATTTTCAGATTTAAGGATGATAACTCTAGTGACTAAAATGTTATAATCTAAGTGCACATTGCATAAATAAAGCTTAGCATTTGGCAATAAGTTAAATTTTTTGTACATTTGGGGAAAGGGGTGGATAGTGTAAATAATTTTCAATTATGACATGGAACAGGATGATGACTTTTTTGTGGTTTGATAAAGAAAATTTAGGTTTTATTTTAATAACTTCATTGAACTGTCAAGCAAATAGGAAAAATGAAAAAATGAAAAAGCCCTCTTGTAGCTGATAAGACAGTGCTGGTTTGGTTCAATCAGCAGCAGGCTCCATGTCTGATTTTATTTGAGCTCAATGAACAAAAATTTTCATTAAATGGGCTTCCCCGGTGGCACAGTGGTTGGGAGTCCACCTGCCGGTGCAGGGGACGCGGGTTCGTGCCCCGGTCTGGGAGGATCCCGCATGCCGCGGAGTGGCTGGGCCCGTGGGCCATGGCCGCTGGTCCTGCGCGTCTGAAGCCTGTGTTCTGCAGCAGGAGGGGCCGTGGCGGTGAGAGGCCCGCGTACTACAAAAAAAAAAAATTCATTAAAAAAAAAGATTCAGGATTTTCTTAAGTAATCAAAAACCTGATAAAGGTAACATGAAGTACAGTAAATTATTTTGATAAGACACAAAATCTTCACTTTCCAGGCAGATTACTCAAAAGGCACCTTTTCTCACCAAAAAACACATCCTACATTCCTTACATAGAGAAGTTTCCTGTATTATTTCTAGTAGTTTTAATTATATACATGTTTTAGAATTCTTAACCCTTAGAATCCTTAATTCCTATTTAAAACTAAGAAGTAAGCAATCTGTTACACTAGTATTTTGTGGATTGGTAAATTTATAAATACATTTCATAATTTCTGGAAGTATATATATATATATTTTTTGGCGGTATGCGGGCCTCTCACTGTTGTGGCCTCTCCCGTTGCAGAGCACAGGCTCCGGACGTGCAGGCTCAGTGGTCGTGGCTTACGGGCCCAGCCACTCTGGGCATGTGGGATCTTCCCGGACAGGGGCACGAACTCGTATCCCCTACATTGGCAGGCGGACTATCAACCACTGCACCACCAGGGAAGCCCCTGTCATATTTTAGATTCCACATATAAATGATACCATATGGGGACTTCCCTGGTGGTGCAGTGGTTAAGAATGCACCTGCCAATGCAGGGGACACGGGTTCGAGCCCTGGTCCAGGAAGATCCCAAATGCTGCAGGGCAACTAAGCCCATGTGCCACAACTACTGAGCCTGCGCTCTAGAGCCTGTAAGCCACAACTACTGAGCCTGTGTGCCACAACTACTGAAGTCCGCGCACCTAGAGCCTGTGCTCTGCAACAAGAGAAGTCACCTCAGTGAGAAGCCTGCACACTGCCGCCAAGAATAGCCCCCGCTCGCCGCAACTAGAGAAAGTCCGCATGCAGCAAAGAAGACCCAAAGCAGCCAAAAATAAATAAATATAATAAATAAATTTATATATAAAAAAAGATACCATGGACATTTAAAAAAAAATGATATCATATGTTATTTGTCTTTCTCCTTCTGACTTACTTCACTTAGTATGATAATCTCTAGTTGCATCTATGTTGCTGCAAATGGCATTATTTCATTCTTTTTTATGCCTGAGTAGTATCACATTGTATATATATTCCATTGCATATATGTACCACATCTTCTTTATCCATTCATCTGTTGATGGACATTTAGGTTGTTTCTGTGTCTTGGCTATTGTGAATAGTGCTGTTATAAACATACGGGTGCATGTATGTTTTTGAATTATAGTTTTGTCAGGATATATGCCCAGGAGTGGGATTGCTAGATCATATGATAATTCTATTTTCAGTTTTCTTTTTTTTCCCCTCTTTTTTTGGCTGTGCCGCACGGCATGAAGGATCTTAGTTCCCTGACTAGGGATGGAACCTGTGCCCCCTGCAGTGGAAGCATGGAGTCTTAATCACTGGACCACCAGGGAAGTCCCATATTTTTAGTTTTCTGAGGAACCTCCATACTGTTTTCCACAGTGGCTGCACCAACTTACATTCCCACCAACAGTATAGGAGGAGAACGCTACCACTTTCAATGATTTGTTAATCAATCAACTAATTAACCAAGTTTATATGGAGTGCTACTATGTGCCAGGCACCAGGCAAGGCCTGGGAGTGAGTGGTGGATCCTTGAGCTTTGCTATTCACCATCTTGTAGGGAAGGCAGAGGGTAAACAGCAATCCAGTGGGTGGAATGCCAAGGAAGAGCAATTTAGATGCTCTGGCAAAATTTGTTCTTCTGGAATCTCATCTGCAGAAAATCTGAACCAGGAGGCTGAGTTCCCAGTTGACATCTCTCCCAGGACAGCTGCCTGAATCAGAGAAGGAATTAACTCTCCAGCCAGACTAATATATGCCCTCTATTTAATACTGCTAAATGGTGGGACTTCCCTGGTGGTCCAGTGGTTAAGAATCCACCTTCCAATGCAGGGGACACAGGTTCAATCCCTGGTCGGGGAACTAAAATCCCACATGCTATGGGGCAACTAAGCCTGCACACTGCAACTACTGAGCCCGTGCGTCACAACTAGAGAGGAGCCCACGTGCCACCACGAAGAGCCTGAGCACCGCAACTGAGAGCTGATACAGCCAAAATAAGTAAATATATGTTTTTAAATTGCCAAATGGTATCCCCAGAAAGATTCTGGGTAGAGTTTCATTATTGCTAATCAAGGGCCTGTCTGGTGGATTATTTAATAACAAGCCCCACTCAAGACTTCTGACTTCAAGATGGATTTTTTTTGGCCCAGTTGAAGCCCAGGAAATTACATTTCTGATTGTTGAGTCTATCCTTACAAATAACTGGGATGAATCCCCAAAGAAAAGTGCATGGTCTTTGGAGTCAGGCAGACCAGACTGTGCTGGGTTTCCAGGCTGTGTAACCTTGAGCAAGGCACTTTTTTTTTTTCCCATCTGTGCTGCACAGGATCTTAGTTCCTAGACCAGGGATTGAACCCGGGCTGGCAGTGAATGGACAGCCAGGGAATGCCCGAGCAAGGCACTTGTGTTCTCTAAGTCTCAGTTTTCTCATCTGTAAAGTGGGGACACTGGCATCTTTGTTATTGGTCATCAAAAGGATTAAAGGCAATACATATTATACAGACCCAACACATGGCAGTCAAGAACAAACGTTTTCTTTGTTTTTTCCTTGTTGCACAAAATGACATTCAAATCAGTTGGGCTTTCTAAATAGGTTGGATTTCTTCCTCGAGAGAATGGCAGGGAGGTTAGTCAATATGGCTGGGATTCTTTTTCTTTTTATTAGTAAACTAAATTTTGTTTTTGGGATTCTTTTAGTTGTATAGCTCTTTGGTCCTTTTAAATTTTTTTTCCAAACCAGGATGATATTTGACACTTCAGAAAAAAATCCAACGTTGGCTGTTTATAGGAATAAGAATTATCCTTCATAGGAATGTAGAAAAGACATTCAGAGAAGAGAAGCAGTGTGAAGTCAAGCCAAGCCCTGGGAACTCATCATAACACATTCACTGGAAATGTCCATCTTATCCATAATTAAACTATAGCTGTTAAGTTTATACTGCAAGTGAGAAAAATAACTATTTTGACTCCTCAATCTTTCTTTAAGATAAATTATCACTTTTTTCATAAGGTATCAGCTATAAGGAAGCGTAGTGAAGTTTTGATTTTTTAGAAAAGAAGTTAATGATCTGGAAGTTTCAACTCACTTGAGTTAAAGACTGACTCCCCTCACAGGTCAAGGTGTACACCATGGACTGCAGCAGGGGTGCACCTGTGTAAAATGGCTGGGATTCTTGGGACAGAGTTTTAAAAAGTAAATTAGTCCTATTGTATTCTAATTATAAAAGTAATACTGAATTTCAGCCTATATGGTAGACTGAGTTGGTAACAAACTATCTTTTCTCCCGGTCTACACTCCTAGAACTGTTTGGAAATGTTGCCTACCAAAAAACCATTTCCAACTCCAACTTGTCCTTTCTTCACCATTGGAAGAGCCCACTTACCACTACAGAGAGTGGAGAACGCTCACATACATTTTTCCAGCCTCTCTTGTGGATATAGGCAGGTTACTGAGTCCTGGCCATTGGGAACTGAGGGAAAGTTTGCAAAGGGACTCTGGAGAAGATTGTCCTCCCTAACATAAAGAGAGGCATGAGAGGAAATGCCCCCTTCCTTTACTCGGGGCATGGCCATGTCTGCTGCTGCCATCTTGTGACCATAATAAAGAATATTACAGATGGAATGCAGAGACGAAAGATGGAAAGTTCTTGGTTCCTTGCTGTCATTGTTGAGTCACAAAGTTGAGAATCCTTAATCTTTGCTACAACCGTTCATCACTGAGTATTATGTTAGCTATAAATTTGTCATATATGGCGTTTATTATGTTGAGGTATGTTCCTTCTATACCAAATCAGTTGAGAGATTTCATCATGAAAGGATGTTGAATTTTGTCAAATGTTTTTTCTGCATGTATTGAGATACTTATATGGTTTTAATCTTTCATTCCATTAATATGGTGTATTATATTTATTGGTTTGCATATGTTGAGCCCTCTTTGCATCCCAGAGACAAATACCACTTGATCATGATGTATGATCCTTCTAATGAACTGTTGAATTCAGTTTGCTAGTATTTTGCTGAGAATATTTGCATCTGTATTCATCAGGGATATTGGTCTGTAATTTTCTTTTCTTGGAGTATCCTGATCTAGCTTTGGTATCAGGGTAATGCTGTCCTCATAAAATGAGTTTGGTAGTATTCCCTCCCTTTCAACTTTTTGGAAGAGTTTGAAAAGGATGGGCATTGATTCTTCCCTAAATGTTTGGTAGAATTTACCCATAAAGGCACCTGTTCCTGGGTTTTTCTTTGTTGGGACATTGTTGAATACTTATTCAATCTCCTTACTATCGGTCTGTTCAGATTTTCTATTTCTTCATCATTCAGTCTTGGCAGGTTGTATGTTTCTAGGAATTTATCCATTCTTAATTTTTTTTAAAAAAATATTTATTTATTTGGTTGCACCAGATCTTAGTTGCAGCAGGCAAGCTCCTTAGTTGTGGCTTGTGGGCTCTTTAGTTGCAGCACGCGAGCTCCTTAGCTGTGGCATGCGAACTCTTAGTTGCAGCACACATGTAGGATCTAGTTTCCTGACCAGGGATCGAACCCCGGCCCCCTGCATTGGGAGCGCGGAGTCTTACCCACTGGATCACCAGGGAAATCCCTATGCACAAGTTTCTGTGTGTATATATGCTTTCATTTCTCTTAGGAAGACCTTGAGCTTGGAACACATGGAGAGCACTCACTTGCCCTCAAATTAAGTTAAACTATGTATGTTTAGGGTATGTAAAGCTCCAGATGGTCAGGTTAGAACAAACGTGGGAATGTGTTTCTATGGCATCTGCTAGTCTTTGGGAGTTTCCCAGGAGCAATCACCTCTGCTTTTTATAGCCTTCCTATGTCTCAGATTTGAGGTCGTAACCTAGTCACTGTTCTCCTTT